TTTTGTAGTCTGTCTAAATCTATTTGCAGCCTCTCTCTCCCGTCAGGTGTGTCCACCTTGCCTCACTAGTTCTTGATGTCTCATAGCCTCCTCTGAACTAGAGTTTGAACCTGTGGTAAGCCTCTTGTTTTTGCTGGTTGGAGGGTTCATATTGCCAACTACAGAATGTGGCTTTCTTCTGATGGATAAGTGCTAGGATTTCCTCCTTGTTGTCATCAGATCAGTCTTGGGGATCGTAAGTGTCATTGTTGGCAGTCACTCACAGTCGAGGATGATGTCCATCAGGCTTAATAGGTCCTCAGGTGACTGAGGAGTCAGATTCTGGATACACGTTCTTTGGCAATGGGGGCATGTTGTGGGGGGAGTAGGGTTCATAGCCTTGAGTTGATCTCTGTCTCCTTCTGCCATCGCTGTTCCGCCTCAGTATCAAGTCATTGGGCTTCAGAGTGGACCAGGTGGTGCCACACTGAGTGGTCAGCAGCTTGCTCCTTCCAGTCATTGGTGTTGATGCCTCTGGGCTTGAGGGCAACCTTGAGTGTGTCCTTTGTGCCGTTTCCTTTGGCTGCCATTTGAGCGTTGGCCAACAGAAAGCTGGGAAAAGGGAATCTGGCAAGGGAGGTGGTACTCAGACATCTGGACGCAGTGGCCTGTCCATTGGAGTTGATTTCTCAAGAGCAAGGCTTCGATGCTGGTGGACACAGCTTCATGGAGGGACGCTCACACTTATCTGGTGGTCCCCTCATTTGATACCCAGGATTCGACTCAAGCACCACTGGTGAAAGCTCTCAAGGGTCTTAATGTGGCATTGGTAGATGGTCCAGGTTTCACTGCAGTAGGGGAGGGTGGTCAGCACGACAGCCTTGTAAACCAGGATCTTTGTAGACTTCTGAAGGTCTCTATTTTTGAAGACGCATCGCAGCTTGAAGGCACCGGCACCGGTGCAGTTGACTCGGTAGTGGACTTCTTAATAGAGGTGGTCCGTTGAGAGAGGTGGCTGCTGAGATGCAGAAAGTGCTCTACACACTCCAGAGCCTCCCCATCTACGTAGATAGCGTGAGGGATGTTCAGCTGGCCTGGGGAGGGTTGGTGGAGAACCTTCATCTTGGCGACGTTCAAGGACAGGCCAAGTCCCTTATACGAAGTGTTGAAGAGATCTAAGGTTGCATGCACATCCTGTGCAGAGTGAGCCATCATGCAGCAATCGTCTGCAAACTGAACGTCATGGATGTCCTTGGTGGTGAGTTTCATTTTTGCCCAAAATCACCCAAGATTGAAAAGCTTCCCATCCAGTCAATACTGGATACTGACACCCAGATGGCAGATTATCTCGGATGTGGTGGATGATGATGGTCAGATAGATGGCAAACAGGGTGGAGGCGATCACGCAACCTTGTTTGACCCCAGTCTGGGTCCAGAAGGTGTTGGTTTCAGATCTTCCACTCAGGACAGTGGCAGTCATATTATCATGCAAGAGCCTCAGTATGGTGACAAACTTCAGCAGGCAGCCGGGGCATTGGAGGATGGTCCACAGAGCTTTACGACTTAAGAAATTGAATGCTGTGGTCAGATCAATGAAGGCGAGCAACAGTTCTTGATTTTGCTCCCAACATTTTTCTTGGATGTGCCTGGCAATGAAACCATGTCTTCAGTGCCCTGGGATGGTCAGAAGCTGCACTTGGTTTCCAGAAGGATCTTTTCAGTGACCGGATGAAGGTGGTTCAGGAGGATGCGGGCCAGGGTCTTACCCTCAATGGACAGGAGGGAAATCCCCCTGTATATCCCACAGTCAGATTTGTCCCCCTACTTGTAGCTAGTCATGATGTTTGCATTCTTGAGATCCGTGGGGATGTCCTCTTTGTCCCAAAGGCAGAGGATAAGCTGCTGGAGTCGTTATATGAGCTGGAAGCTGCCAGCATGCTAGACCTGTGGGTATACCATCTGCCTCGCAGGCTTTCCTGGTTTTCATTTGTTGGATGGCCCGCTTCAGCTCTCTGATGGTTGGTGGATCACTAAGGAAATCCACCACAGGGCATTGCTTGGAGGGTCTCCTTTGATATTGTGGACTCCCAGTTAAGGAGGAGTTTGAAATACTTGTTCCAACGCAGACAGAAAGTGTCATCATTCTTGAGGAGCTGGGAGCAGTCCAGTGTTCGGAGAGAGTTTTTTGTCCAGTGCAGCAGGGTCTGTAGGTTATCTTGGTAGCCTGGAAGAAGTTACACACGTCGTTTTGGTTGGTGTAGCCCTGGATCAGGCACGCCTTCTCTACCCACCAGTTGTTCTTCATGTCATGGATGTATCACTGGACCTCAGCCTTCAGCTGGTGGTACACTGCTGTCTTTTGCCAAGTTCGTGGATGGCTTTGCCAAGCGATGAAGGCTGCAGACTTCTGTTGGAGGAGATCACAAACCTCAGTGTCATTGGCATTAAAGCAGTCCTGGTTCTGTCATGAGGCAAACCCAATAGTCTGGGTACAGGCATCTTGGACAGCAGACTTGAGTTGATCCTAGTGTGCCTGGATGGAGATGTCATCAGCAGTAGGGACTTGCTCCAGTTCACTATTCAGCGGGGCCTGGAACTCCTCCTGCTGTCCAGGGTCCTTCAGAGCTGTAACATTCAGCCATCTCCGGGCAGCCTTCTGGGTCTTCTGGTGTCTTGGTGCCAGGCAGATGTTCATCGCTGACTGCACAAGTTGGTGGTCTGTCCACCAGTCATCAGATCCCTTCATGGCCCTCGTGACAAGCATGTCCCTCAGGTCTCTACCTCAGATGATGATGTAATCCAAGAGGTGCTAGTGCTCCGATCTTGGATGCCTCCACATGGTCTTGAGCCAGTCTTCATGGCAAATGATGGTGTTTGTCACGATCAGGCTGTGTTGGGCACATTTGGTCAGGAGCAGAATACTGTTGGCATTGGCATTCCCCATGCCATTCGTGCTGATAGTTCCACTCCAGATTTCATGGTCACATCCAACCTGGGCGTTGAAGTCACCCAGGAGACTGACCTTGTCATCCATGGGGATGGAGACAAGGGCATTGTTGAGATTGGAGTAGAACCTTTCCTTGACTTCTTCATTGTAATCCAGAGTTGGAGCGTATGTGCTGATAACAGCAGTGCGTTGATTTTGGCTGAGGTGCAAGAGAAGGGTCATCAGCATTTCATTGACACCCGAAAGGTGTTTGGGGAGCACGTCAGCGATCTTGTTCCTGATGGCGAAACCAACTCCGTGGATATGGGGGTCGTGGTCTGGTTTCCCTTTCCAGAAGAAGGTGTACCCTCTGCTGACCTCCCTCAGCTGTCCCTCCCCTGCGAGCCAGGTTTTGCTGAGGGCAGCAGTGTCGATGTTGTGCCTTGCTAGCTCCTGAGCTGTGATGGCAGCTTGTCTTTCTGGGCGATAGCTCTTTGGGCTGTCGATGAGCATTCTCACATTCCAGGTTCCAAAGTTTAACTTTTTTGTATTTTGACCACCAGAATGGTGATCCCGCTAGGTGCCATTTCCTAGCCAGGAGAGATGGGACAGCCTATTTTTGGGGCACCTTTTCTAGCCCCCTCCCCATCAGGGTGAGCAGAGGGTATCCTAAAAAGGACTGCTCAGTTGCATGTTCAGCTGCTGAAGGACACCCCTGTCCCGACACAGGTGCCTGATGACCATCGCGCATCTGCAGCCAGTGTGCAGATCCTTGGCTGGGGCCCTCCAGGTATCACAGCCCTGCCCCCATCGCTAATCCTCCATCGCCACAGGGTTTTTGGACTTGATGGAAGCCTGCATGGTGCATGTTCAGCATGAGGACTCTGGTGCGCAGTTGGGCCCACACGGTCTTGGCAGTTGGTGGCTGGTTTCAGTGGCATGGTGAACCGTGAAGACTGGGGCCGCTTCTCCGTTGCAGCTTTCTTCCACCTTTGCAGCCATTGGGGCCACAGCCTTCCTCCACCTGCTCCACCACTGAGGACTTCTTGGATCATTCTTTGTCTGGAACCTCCCCCTCGATCTTGCCATCATGGGTGGCCCTACCAGGAGTGTGAGCTCCAGACGGCGTTGTTCTCAGGGTCATTGGAAAAACACAAGCCTCTCTACCATAACAAGGTGACGATCCTTGGAGAGGGATGGTAAGTGTAGTATCCAATTGATTCAGCACATGCCTTGTGAATAATGTTCTTAAGCTCCTCTCAGTATGTGTGGATGTCCTTGATGGAATCAGGTAGGTCAGAGAGTTCTCAGTAAGGTTGAAGAGCCTCGCATCTATCTTGGTCTTGGAGTGCCTTGATGTTAAATCTCTTCCACATTCCTTTCTGTTTTGTACACTGTTGTGGTGCAAGCTGAGTGTCCATGACTGATCTGACTAAATGGTTGTCTGTCCAGCAGTCATCTGCACCTCTCAGGACTCGGGTGATATGGACATCAGTATGATCATGGGCTCTGATAATAATGTAGTTAAGAAGTGTGCCAGTGATTGAAGCATGGATGTTTCCAAGTGGTCTTATATTTGTCACTCTATCTGAAGATGGTATTCATGATAGTATCATACTCTGCACATTTGCTGAGGAGGAGGATACCATTGGAGTTGACTTTCCCCACCCCCTCTTTACCAATGGTGTCATTTCAGAGTTCAGTGTTGACAACTCTTGCGTTGAAGTCACCCATGAGGATGAGCTTGTTTTCTTTGGCAGTGGCAGTCAGGACTATGTCAAGAACACAGTAGAACTGTTTCTTGTTGACTTTTTCATCGTCAAGTGTGGGGAGCTCATAAGCTCCCCACACTTAAGTTTTTCTTAAGGTAACTTAACTTACCTTAAGTTTTTCTCCACATCCAGCTCGGTAACAACCGGTATGCTACAACTGGCTCCCTGCCACCATGTGGGACTCCCAGCACTGCAGCCTGGAGCTAGGCACAATCAGGCTGAGCGGCCTCTGTGCCTCCACATGGGGCTCCCGGCTGGAGTGCTGGGAGCCCCATGTGGAGACATGGAGCTGACTTGGCCCAATGACACATGGTTCTCCACAGCTCCTGGCTCTCCAGCTAGGGGTCTCTACCTGCCGTGGGCCATGAGTGCCGTAAGGGCCCCCTGCCTGCTGCTGTGGCCGGCAGCAGAGGCCGTATACCATTGGTGGGGGGCATGTGGGTGGGTCGCCATACCCACACCCCACACATACATCCCCACCCTCACTGCACACACTTGCCCTCTCCCCCCCAAATATAACATCCAAACTTTATTTTGAGCTATTATGCAGTCGCACACAAATCAGAACAAATACACATAAATCAAGACAGAAATATTTTTTTGAAATAAAATATGTTATAATAGATGTTTGATTTTTAGTATATTGTTTATTTTCTGGTTCCAAGATGGCAAAGTCACTTCTCAAAAGGAGTACTTCTGGGGGCAAGGGGAGGGACTTCTGGTAGCATGGTGGGGCGGGGGCTTAGGTGCGGGACTTCTGTTCCCAAAATGGCAACCAGGGGGCGGAGCTATTTTTGCAGCCCTTGACAGCTCACCAAAATTTGTTAAGTAGCCCTCCAGCCGAAATAATTGACCACTGGTATAGACCAATGAAGTTTAATCTTTCCAGTGCCCAGTCCAGATGAGTAGGTCACAGCTGGTCTGCGAGATCAGGTTCATACACTGGGTATGGGGACATGTGCTAAGTCATGCTGCAGGTCATACTTTGAGTACCGATGTGACTAATACAATCATTATATCACTGTCAGAGGATACTGACAGAAGCTGATACTGTGGAACTGTTAGTTCTGCACAATTCTGTAGCAGTTTATAACAAAAACACTTCAGCTCTTCCTTGCTTTGTTCAGGCTCAAAGTTAGAACTATTTAGCTAAACTGTATTACTACAGGTGCATGCAAAGGTAACATCTAGATCAGTGATTCTCAACCAAGATGCCACAGCACCCTGAGGTGCCTTAATCTTTTCAATGGTGCCATAAGGTGCCAAACAATGTTATCACTGTTAGATGTGCAGACATGATTCATAAGATGAACCCAGAGATTTCAAATAGGAATTCGTAGAGTTAAAAACGTTCTGACCCTGTCTTTGAGTTCTTTGCCACAAAAGAATTGCTGTATTTTTTTTTATTTTTTTTTTGTAGTCAAAACAAGTGAAAACTAAGACCTGGCATTTTCCACAGTGGGGCTTGAGTCTAACAAGAGATGACTTATGTCTAAAAAGGTTGAGAACCACTGATCTAGATCATAGCAGCTGCTGAATGGTCTTAAGCAGCTGCTCTGTCTCCCATTTTGAAGTTGATAAAATTTACATTTGCCCATAACCAGGTTTCTGCATAGTTAAACTGTGTCAAAATGCATGGCCTGCATATAATTTAAGTACTAAATTATACTTGCATATTGTGTGTAATATCGATATGTTAGATGATGTAATGTTTGCAGTACTCTCTTTGCAAACCTGCATTTGTGTTTTTGTGTGAGTGTAGTCTTAACAAATGAGTAGTTTTAACATGATCTTTGATTCAGTTCTTGCACCCTTGGTTAGATTTCATTTCACATTGGTAGTAAATCTGTCCTCTATATCATGCATGACTTGTGGTCTTCAAGAAAGATGAGGTACCCTTATGCTCAACTGTGTTTCTAGATTTACTATTTTGTGAGCTGCTATAAGCCAGAGACTTTTTGCCGGGCTTGAACTGGCTTACCTGCTTTTTTAGTACTGCATCATGACATCCAAATGTGTACTTCATGAGCTGTGAAAACAATTCTGTGACAGCAACATTGTGTCTGCACTTGCTATCTCACATACTTTATGTTCATGCATTATTACAATACCATGGCTTGAAAAGTTGCATCTTTTTAGTTGAAGCCCAGAATTTCCCGCCCTTGAACAAGTACTGATTTATAAAACTGATGTTCTTAACTTTTTGTAACTTCATTTCCTGTACTAGCCTTCTCCAGGTTACTTGAAGGAGATTCTTGAACAGCTTCTTGAAGCTATAGCTGTAGCCACAAACCCATCAGGACGTCTAATTAGTGAGCTGTTTCAGAAACTTCCCTCTAAAGTGGTAGGTGCATAAATTAAATTAGTTGTATTTTGTGTTTTGGTATCTGGTAAATGGTATAACTTATATATGAGCTGATTTATGAAGCAGCCGAACAAACTCAAATCAGAATATTCTAATCACCAACAAGTCTTACAGGGATCCTGGTTTTCTCTGTTTAAAAATTGCAAAATCCTCCTTTTTCCACAAGTAAAATGAAATTACACTATCAATATATAGTGATATAGATATCTGTCTATCTATCGATCGATATAGATATATCAATTTGGAAGCCTACTGGTGCCTCAGTCATTATAATAAAAATAAATTCTAAGTACCTATATATTTTGGCATTTGATTTTGTTTTTTATCATAGAAAATCAGAGCTCCCACTGCCCCCTTTGCTCACCAGGATGCGGGT